TTATATTTAATATCTGGTTTATAGCAGCTTAAAGTTTTGCTCAGGGGTTCATTGGATAATTAGATTAGCTATGTTTTTATTCTTTTGACATACATGAAACTGTTAATAGATCAATTAACATTCTAACATAGTTGGTATGTAGTATTGTCAAGTGCACCTGGTAGTCTTAATTGACTTTGCCCGGGTATTATTGAATTATTTTGATTAGCTATATTTATACTTTTTTGACATTCATAAAATGCAACATCAGTCTTCAAATCTACTGATATATTCACTTAAAACATAAACATGGGTTCTTATCTATAACATGAGGTGACTGAACCCTTTGTGAAGATTTATTGTGTCTTTGTTTAAATAATAATCATAATTCAAAGGCAACTAATCAAGACTCATAATCATGTAATAAAACTTTCCGTTAATTTCTCCATAACCGGGGCTCTTGCTATTCTTTGTGCGCTTTTAAGTTTTTTTGTATTTTAGGTTATTTATATACCTTCATTTATATGCTGTCAATGTGTCTTTTGAATAAAATGTATATTAAATAAATGACACGTGCACTGTCATTCATCAATTGTCTTTGCAATTGATAAATGTAGTGTAATATTTGTATATGGCAATAACTATGATTATTGTTTTGTGATATTGACTTTACTGAAATAAAGCAATACTATCATGTTATCATTTATAAATAAACCAAATTTATACACTTTGGTATTTTTGTCATTTATACACTGGTGAAATTACATATGTTAAGATTTTCCAGGCATACAATAGGTTGATTACATCAAACACATCTATAGGTATGCCATTTACCTTATTTGTTCAATTTGAGCAAGTAATTAGTGTACATAAGAAATCTTAAATACCACCAAAACAGCAGGCTACGAAAAAATAAGAAATACAAATGCTTTTGAGGGAAGATCCAAGAGAATTTCAACTCGAGACAACATATTTGGCTTATTAGAAAAGCTAACATTATATTATAATGTGAAAACGCCACAATAATTTGTTCTTCAGCCAAGATCCTTGACAGAAACACAGCTTTTTGTGTCGACAGCTACAAAGTAGACTGCGTCAAATATGGATCACTTCTCTGTCACTAAAATTGTCAAGACTAATTCTCAAAAACTATTGGTACAGTTTCATACAAACATTACAGGAATGAACACTACCCAATTTAGTTGTGCATATCGTCGGCAATTTCCAGTTCAATGATTTTTGTCAGAATTATGGCTTGGGTGAACATCCATATTCATTCCGTACATACTTGTACTTGCTTAAAAGGTAAACGGTTGCTTATGTGGTGCAAATACTTTGCCTATGGGGTTTTAGAAATCAAATAAGATCAAACAAAAAGCTCATAATGTCAACTCAAAATGAATGTCCGTACGTCCGCCCGTAAACTTTTACTTTGAATGTCACTTCTCATAAACCACTAATCCAATTTCATCCACACTTCACAGGAATGTTCCTTTGGTGGTAATTTTTAAAATTGTTCTAAGAATCGAATTCCATACAGAACTCTGGTTGCCATGTCAAAACGAAAAATAAACTTAAAAAATCTTCTTTTAAAAAAACCCAAAGAGCTAGAGTATAGATATTTAGCATAAACTATTTTTAGTGGGTGTTAACCAAGTTTGTTCAAAAGCCCTGGTGTTAAAATTGGAACCACCCCAAGGAGTCATTGATTTTCTTACATAATTATATACGTATAGTAAAAGCAAAAAATCTTCTTCTAAAAAGCCAAAGAGCTATAACTTAGATGTTTAGCATGAAATATCTTTTTTATAGGTGTCTACCTAGATTGTTCAAATAAAACCCCTGGGGTCAAAATAAAACCCCTCGGGAGTCATTGATTTTCCTGATATGTAAAAAGTAAAAACAAAAAATAAGTTTTGTTCTAAAAACAGTCCAAGAGTAAAAGTTAAGATTTTTAGCATGAAACATCTTTAGTTGGTGTCTACCAAGTTTGTTCAAATAAAAGCCATTGCGTCAAAATTGGCCCCGCTCCAGGGAGTTATTGATTTTCCTTATATGTTTAAAATGTTTATAGTAAAGAAAAAAAAACAACAAAAAACTTGTTTTAATATAATATATAGACATAAGCTTAGATATTTGGTATCAAACATTGTCTTGTAGATCTTTACACAGATTGTTCAAATGAAAGCCATTATGTCAAATTTGGTCCCACCCCGGGGAACATAGATCTCCTTTATATGTATACAGCAAAAACTTTAAAAACAATTTTCTCTCTCAAACTACAAGAGCTAAAGCTTAGTATTTTACATGAAACATTTTCTAGTATGCCTCTACTAAGTTTGTTCAAATGATAGCCCTTGGGTAAAAATTGGCCCCTATGGTGTCACGGCTTTACTTATTTTAATAAATACTTAAAGAAATCTCCATCTTAAAAATTGTAAGGGCTATGTTTTACGATATGAAACACAGTCAGGTGAACCTCAACAAGAACTATTCAAATTAAAGCTCTGGAGTCAAAATTGACAAACATTAACCTCTTAAGCAATCAGTGACTTTCCATGGTAACCAGTGACTTCCATGGTAACCAGTGACTTTCCATAGCAACCACTGACTTTCATAGCAAACAATGACTTTCCATAGCAACCAATTACTTTTTATAAGAACCAGTGGCTCCCGTAGCAACCAGTCGCTAAGAAAACATTGACTTTCAATGGTAACCACAGACTTCTTTAGCATCCATTGATTTTCCATAGCAACCAGTCCTTTTTCCATGGCAACCATTTACCTTCCATAGCAACTAGTGACTTCCTTAACAACCATTGATAGCAACCAGTGACTTTCAATAGCAACCATTAACTTTCATGGTAACCAGTAACTTTCTTAGCAACCATTGATTTCTATAGCAATCAGTCACTTTTCATAGTAACCATAGGCATCAATAGCAACTAATAGTGACTTCGATGGCAATCATCGACTTCGTATAGAAACCTGTGCCTTGCTTTAGCAATCAGACACTTCAATAGCAACCTGTTACTTTCCATAACAACAAGTGACTTGTTTGGTAATTATTGACTTTCCATAGCAACCAGTGACTTCTTTAACAGTAGCAATTAGCAGTGACTTTCCGTAGCAACCAATAACTTTTAATAGCTATCAGTAATTAATGTTACAACCATTGACTTTCAGTTGCAACGATTGACTTCCGTAGCATCAATAACTCTATAACAACCTGTGACTTTCCTTAGCAACCATTGACTTCCATGGCGACCATTGACTTCCCATACCAACCACTTACTATTATAGCAAACATTGACTTTCATAGCAACCATTGACTTTACACGGCAACCAGTGACTTCCATACCAACCAGTGATTTTTAATAGCACCCATTGACTTCCATAGCAACCAGTGTTTTTCCATAGCAACCACAGACTTCCATAGCAACCAGTGACTTTCCATAGCAATCAGTGTCTTCTATTGCAACCACCAACTTCCATAGCAACCACTGAATTTTTAAAGGAACCATAGACTTCCGTAGCAACTAGTGACTTTCTACAGCAACCATTGACTTCCATAGCAAACAGTGGCTAGTGACTCTCAAAGCAAACATGACTCTTTATGAGTTATGACCCTTGAATAAAAATGCGTTTTGGGATGACAATGTTTCTTGTGTCTCCTTCTACACAGTAACTACAGCATGCTATGGAGTAGCCGCGACATATAGGAGAACACAGTTGTATTCCACCCTTTAGTACATCTGCTTAATTTGCTATCACCAGGCGTCATATGTGATCAATGATCGTTCTTGTGCAAAAATTAAACTGACCCTATTGTTTGGAGGTCTGTTTTAACTTAAGAAACATTTTATTATGTAAGTGATAGCTTTCTTCAAAAAATGGCAGACGCAGTCACTTCATGAAATATTAGAGATATTTACTGAAGTACGCTTAGCATATTTATGGACTTGTATCATTCAATGCTTATTCTTTAATTCATATTTACTAATTTATTTAATAGTACGTATTATATCATCGTATTACATCGTAAATCTTGGAATAGTGACCATAGTAGTTTCAATTCCTAACTTATTTACATCATTGAGCGCTTCACAACACGCTTTCAATTGGTTAACTTTATATATTTAAGATCATTGATAAATACTGATTTACCATGACATAACTATATAGGGAAATAATTATCTTGGAAAAACACGTTACTATATATTCCCACACATATTCAAGAAAGAAAAAAACACAATTCAGATTGTCATAAATTACAGAAACATGGGAAAAAGTTATTCTGTGTCTCCTTGTGATTCAATGCCGATAAACATCTGTTTACAAAGGAATCCATTCGGTAACTTTAATACTGAGTATTACTTTGTTGGACACGACTAGTGAGAATGGAGCCAATATACATTGTGTACTCTTCCAGCTCATAACAGGTAGATCTACGCAGTTCTTCGTGATGTTTGTAAACGGAATACAGAATGAAATACAGAATTCTGCTGAGTTTATAGAAGTCCAGAATAAAGACTTAAATGTGACAGATTAACTATAGAATAAAGAAAGCGAAAATTGACTAGGCCGGGTCTGTTTCATTTTGAAAAAAAATATTAAAAAAGACTTATCGTGGTAAAGATAAAAAGGAAGCACGTTTCCTTCCAGATACTTCAATATATACAATTTATACAGGTCAAGGTAGGTAACTCTAACATCTTGCTTTGACGTACAGGTAAGAACTCTACATCATTTTGCAAATTCTAACTGGCTAAGATTATGACTCCCGAAGGGTCACAATAAATACAATATATTCCAGGAATGTAACCGATTCGCAATCAACAGAATTTGAAAAAAAAACATGTCATTACGATCCGTTACTATGATACTTCCATGGTATAAGCGTGTTAGTTTTTTCTCGTCACATAGATATCATCCAACGCTTTGAAGCAGTCTATTCACAAGACAACGAGTTCAACAAAAGTTTGTTTTGTTTGCTTTTTGTTTAAATTGGATATTTCGTTGACAAAAGTATTGACTCTTCATCAATATTAAAGTAAAGGGAAAGTGAAAAACAGATCTAATTTTACTTGATCATGTTGTTACCAAACTAATTTCAAGACACGATATCGCGCTTTGTCATTACCAAACAGATTTTTTCAAGATGGCAGACTATAGTTTTGTCACATGCTATCTACAGTACTTTGAATTCTAAAATATTAAGAGAAATTGTTGTTAAAGAAAACTATTTGAAAGTATAAAATAATCACCTACCTTCATGACTGCCATCTTTTAAATTTTATAATGCAACCACGAAGTCGATTCCGTACTGCACGTTCCCTACGGTGAATTATTAATCTTGTGTAGATAGCAAGGTACTAGTAGCATAATCAGAACGTTAGTTTATCGCATATGAAGTAACTTTTATCATTTACATGCGCGGTTTATACATGGTAAGAACACTTTAGAATATTTGGTAGACTTATAATATATGTTTAGACATTTGTTATCAATATTGAATGACTGAATCTCGTAGTTACATTTTTCAGTTACGCAAGCTGGCAAAGAAAGCAAAAACATTCTTGAGTATCATAAAATTAATTGTTAGTGGTAAAGTTAACAAACAAGCAGGAACTATTCATTATATGTGAGCTCCCCTAATTGTGAAATTAATTCAAACTATCATCGAACTTGCTGCTCGAGGATTATTAGTCCCCTTACATGTGACGACATCGATAAGAACGCATAAAGAACAATATAAATTGACGATGAGTGAAAAGAATGATTCGACAGGCAAGCAAATATTTTACTCAAGTGAGACAAACGAAACAGTAATAGAGAACGGGAGCAATGGGAAAATACAGAACAAAAACACAGATAACACGGCAAATAGACATCGAATTTTGCATACATTTTGTATATTCATCTGTATCCTTGCAATGGTAATAATTATGTTATTTAATGCATTGCCAAATACATTGTGTATTTGTTTCAAGCTTGCTTTACATATGTTTCATTATTCTTAAAATTTAGACCAAACATTCTTCAAAATAAACTTGTTTAGGAAACTCGGCATCCACATATAATTCTCTCGTGGTTTGTACTCAATACTCAATACTATCAGTATAGCTATTTACGGTATAACAGTTATAATGGGCCCGTTCACTTTCAAACATTCCTTGTAGATTACATTGTGATGTATGTATATATCTAGCCCTTGCATTCGTCTTTAATGTGTAAAATTGCATGCGTGCAAGCGCTGTATGTAAATTCGGTATGATAACAGTTGTAGGTTATTTACCGGAGTTAAATGTATGCTGTATATTACGGTGGCCTAGAGATGATAAACATATTATCTTGTGGCCTCAAGATTTTATCTTGTGGCCACAAATTATTATCTTGATGTCTCGAGACATTATCTCATGGCAACGACTTATTATCTTGTGGCGACAACTTATTTTAGCCAATGAAACTAGTCGTTTCATCTTGAACGAAAGTTAATATCACACTGGTCATAGCTTTTGAAAAAGCGGTGGGTCAAAAGCTGCGACAGCGGTGAATTCGTCACAGTTTCTTGAAACTACAAGGTAATAAGTTGTTGCCCGGAATAATATCTTGAAGCCTCAAGATGATAAGTTTTGGTCACAAGATAATGTCTCGGGACATATTATTTCGTGGCCACGACTTATCTTGTTGCCACAACTTATAACCTTGTGGTCTCAAGATACTATCTCGTGGCCACGACTTATTATCTTGTGACCATAACTTATTAACTTGTGGCCACGAGATTGTAAGTTGTGTCCACAAGATAAAAAGTTATCTTGAGACAACAAGATAATAAGTAATGGTCAGAAGACAATAAGTCGTGGCCACAAGATAATTTACAAAAGGATACTGCAAATATCACCTGTATGCAACCGCAGTTTATCCTCAATGACGTATTATACTTTCAAGAAATTTTGTCTCTTCAACGACTCTAAGTGAGCAGAAAATTGATATAATGGCATGGTATAATAATGCCGAGTGATTTTTTGTGTACACAAACTGCTTCCCTACAGCACGGACAAAAATGAGTATTTTGGTAACCCATACTAATGGCCATTACAAAACGTATTCTATTAATAAGATATTAAGTTTTCCAAGAAGTTTTCCATGACAAGCCGAATATTTTGGTAAAACAACCATTATTACAGTGAGTGAGCTAAATAAAAATATTTTGAAATAACTTTAATTTTCATTTGTTCAGGAACTTATCGCATGCCAATACAGTAAACATAATCATTATAACTTCTATAATAGGGGTGGAGAAACGCTTTGATTGGTCCAACTTTACCTGATATTAGAATCATAATAGACGAGAATCTTGCCACGGCATCTTGGATATTTACAGCTAAATCACTAGGGTAAGTTGTAGAGATTCTACTATAATATTTTTATGAGGTTGTCTGGTGTTATTATGTAGATTATTACGTGAATAAACAGAAAAGCTCTAGATGACAAAGAAATATTATTCAACAAGTTTTGAAATTGCACAAACCTAAACGCAAGTAGTTTTTTGAAGTAGGTCTCGCCACTTGGTCATGGAAAGCAAGCATCCCTCGTTTCCGGGTTTAAATTTTTATTTTGGATACGGGAAAAAATTTATTGTCTTTACACCCATTTTTTTAATTTTATTGCCCAATTAAAATTTTAAGCCCTTTTTAAAATTTGAAAATTTTGGTTTCGCTTTTAAAATCCTGATAAAGTTGGTTTTTTCTTCTTGTCAAAAAAGGCAGGAAAAAAAGAAAATAAATTTGACCTTTTTTTTTTTCAGTTTTTTTTTTGAACGGGAAAAAAAATTTTTCCCTTTTTCGTGCCACGGTATTTTAAATATTTTAAAGAATATTTTAAACTTAAACGAAATTTGGGGGCTTAGCAAAAATTTAGTAGAATCATTTTTTCCTTTCGAAAAGAGACCCTTTCAACTACATTATTCCTACCTTTTAAAGTTATTTTAATACCAAAACAATTTCTACTTTTTATGATAAAGAAATTAATCAAAACATCAAAACGAGTAATTTTAAAGATAAACGAATAAACTGATGTTTTGTACATTAAAAGCCACCCAATAAATTACACAGTAAAGTATCATAAAGTGGGAAATTTGACTAATGAAAAAATGGATAAAGTGACTCAAAAATGTCCACATTATGTTTGACCTTACAATAATGTCAATGATGTAGGAACATAATGCTTCTAGAACATTATTAAGCTTATATCTTTTTTAAAAAACAAAACAACCAAATTTTGGAATTTTTCATACTGAAAATGAGTTTGTTAAAGTGTTTGTTTGTTTTCAGTGGGTTACTTGGAGCTATCTGCGGCGGTTTTGCTTATGATCGTTTCAATAAAATAGGTGTGTTTGTCGTTATTGTTATAATAATGGGAATTTCTTCTGCCGTAGCACCTTGGTGCTACCACCTGGCGGCAATGCTGGTCGTTCATGGGTTTCATGGAGTTTGCGCAGCTTCTTTTGAAACAGGTTATTTTTTTTCTAAATGTCAATTAAATACTTATTTATAAAGAAATTGCACATGTCATTTACCTGTCTTTCTTGTCTGTTGAATTGGTAATTAATATAGATAGGTATCAATCTTTTTTATGTAAGTGAGCCCTTGTGAGTAGTGAGTAAAGTAATGCTGTTTTCATACCAATGAAGGTTGTCATGATAATCGCATTTGTATTACATTAGATTTTCAGTATAGTATGGAAACAAAATTAGCAAAACTATATATACCAAAATGTTTTGCATTTACATTTTATATGTCTCAATTTTAGCGGCGATTGCTGACATTGCTCTTGTGTGGAAACAGAAAGCTGGACCTTATTTGCAAGCTATGCAATTTGCTTTTAGTGTTGGAGCGATTATATCCCCTTTGGTTGCAGAACCTTTTCTAGCGAAAACAATTACATTTCCAGCCAATTTTGAACGCTTTTTCAAATGTTTCAACGTTTGTGCCTCTGTATTTGAAACACACAGTGAAATTTACTGACAAGTTAGCAGTACAAGAAGAAATAACTGGCAACATTTCTGTAACTGATATCGGAGAATCTATGATTTATATTCCATACAGTGTGACGGCACTCCTTTGTTTATTGTCGGCGAGTTTGTTTGTTGCGACTTTCTGTTTTTTACGGCAGTGTTTATGAAAATCTCAATGATGTGTCGGCATGTGAAATTTACTTCTCATCGAAATCGGTAACTTCATAAGTAAGAGGATGAAATATACATTTACCATGTTGTTAGCGTCGGCTTTGTTGCTCTATGTCGTTTAGTCAAAATAGTTTACAGGATTTCTCATGTCATTTTTAGTATCGGAGCGAAAATGGAGTAAGGCAATGGGATCTGTTGCGTCTTCTTGTCTTTTGGATTACTTTTGGAATTGGAAGATTATCTGGTATTGTTATTATAAAGTCTATCAGTATGTCTTCCATGATTCTCATATTAAGTTCCACATGTCTTTCTGGTGCGGTGATATTTCTGCTCGCTGTGATTTTTGATCAAATCATATTGGAGTGGATATCCATTGGAGTCATTGGTTTTGGAATGTCTGTTCTATTTGGTTTACCATTTTCGTGGTTGTCTAAAAATGTCTGCACACTGACAGGTAAAATGGCGAGTATTTTCTTTATCTTTAATTGTGTTGGAACTATGGGTGTACCTATTTTAGTTGGATATCTGATGGACAAAGTTTCACAAATGTGGTTCATTTATTCAAATATATTTTTGAGTTTTTCTATGTTTGTAACCTTCGTTATTGCTATGGTGTCTTTCAATTTAATGAAGAGAGTTCATAAAAGATCAGAAAAAGCCAATATCATGTTAAAAGCTGAAGGTGGGGATTGAATGTTAAAGATGTAAAAAGTTCAATCCGTTTTCGTGAAATTACTTTAAAAGGGCAGAATTTAAAATTTTATTTAAAGTAAAATGTACATTTATAAATTTTGTGTTTGAAATAAAAGTCTGTTTGAGTTATCATTTTGTAAGTAAAGTATAAAAATAATTTTTGTTCATGTTAAATTTATTTTATAATTTAAAAAAACTAATATTAGTTTAAAAAAAAAGTTCCATAGTTTGGGCTTTATAAAAGCACGTTTCTACTCAGTTTTCAATTCTTGTTGAAAACCAAAAAAAAAAAATGCTTTTTTTTTTGTACCCAAAATAAGCTTGCTCTTTTGTTTTGTCTCATTGATATAAAAAGCGCCCTTTTCAAAAGGGAATTACTGAGAGATCAACAGATTTGCTTTTATTTCCCTTTATAGGGAATTGGTTATAACACAAAGCAAAGAAGACGGATTGACATGATAAGTATATCGAACAGGTTAATCTTAATGGACGAAAAAAAGAAATACAAGGCACGCATTCAAAATGGATTACCGTTCTATCAAATGGTAAAGTGAAGGTCAAAGTAATGATATCAAAATAGTTCTGATAGAAAACTTAAACAATTGTTCACCGGTGAATTGAATAAACACTGACACTGAAGTGTATATTGTAAATATTGATTAGAACCTAGTGAGAAAGTGACTAACACGTAGAGCATAATGATATACTATTCAAGAGGGAAACCGAGCAAAAGCCATACCTACTAAAACTAAACCGCAACCGAAACGAACGTCCTGTACTTGTACAATTGCGTTTCTGAAATATCTAATTTGCATAGAATCGATATGTCGATGAATTACTAGAAGAGAGACTATGCATATCATCATATTCAGTTTTAGATGTAACTTGTACCATGATATGTGACCAAACCACCTATTAGTAAGTGATATTTTCTCAAATAATTCATACACTGATTTGACGGATAGACTTACGCCATTTTACTAAATAAAGGTACAGTAATTCGGTGAGATGTTAAAAGACTATGTAATGTTGTATGACAAATTTATGTATATTATTATGAAACACACTGTAAACATTCCTTGATTCGTTATATATTAAACAAAAAAATCATTTGTTTCATATTGTAATTATTGAAATTAAGATTGTCTCTTAACTGTATCAACACATTAATGGCACGGTAAACTAAAATTAAGTATTACGATATTTCATGGTTATTAAATGACTGATCAGATTTCAACGACTTTTGTATCAAAAATGTAATGCTACAATATTGGCAGGGTCAATTCTCAATGTTAAAAAGTGACCATGGGTCATATTTAACCACTGGGGTCATTTTTAAACGGAGTCAAAATTTAATGTACCACTTGTATTCCTTACTACTAGAAGCCAATTATCTGACACAACGATTGCTTCATCATTATTATTATTATTTGGTTTTTGTAGTTGTATTTTTATGTTGCAGTGTATCTAAGCATGATACAGACAACATTAAAGGTATTAAACAAAATGAACTATGCAGTGATAAGGTAAATACTAACCTTAATGTCACTAAAAGCTGTTGATACTTTCTGTTACAACTATGTCTTGTTTATTCTGTAAAGTGACACATGTTATCATAAAAGACTTATGATTTTTAAAGGGAGCATATTTCCTTCAATATGCTTCAATATATACAATGCATACAGTCCAATGTAGGTAATTTTAACATCTAGCTTTGACGTAAAGATAAGATCTCTATGCCATTTGCAAGTTTTAAACGATTTAGATATTAACTTCCCAAATGTCACAATTCATTCTATATTTTCCAGAAATGTAACCGATTCGCAATCAACAAAATTTGAAAAACATGACATAACGATCCGTTGCTATGGTGCTTACGTGGTATATGTGTGTGTGTTAGTTCTGCATGTCACTGACATGCATTTCATACCCAACGATGAAGTTATTAGACAATGAATCCAACAATTTTTTTTGAATAGATATTTCTTTGATAAAAGTGTTGACACTAAATCAGTACTAAAATAAATGGCAAGTGAAAACATATTATTTGCGAAAACCTTGGACTAGGCCTTCTGTAAAAGGAGCAGATTTTTTTAAGAAGTTCAAAAAAGCAGATTATTTTAAAGTAATGAGTTACCAACGTCCCCCGCCTCGGGAAGTTTTATATGAAGCATAAAAGTGTGCTATTTCAAAAGATTGAGGTATGAATCTCAAGACTTTCAGTTCAAAATAATGATCAATGCTAGATCTGCAAATGCAACAATAAATTTGTTAAAGAAATAAAATGAAACATGGAATTTAAAAATCTATCATGTTAAGCTTTGACCTAAACCGTGTTGTTTGTGCCGTGTGGCGGCTGTAAAAAGTCTCCCCGTACATGCAATCAATGTTGTTATATTTTCATCCTCAAGGGATTGTTCGGCGTTCAGTGTCTATGTTGTTCCATACTGTTTTGGTGACACTTTTGCTTGTATGCTCACAACCGTGTTGTTTGTGCCGTGTGGCGGCTGTAAAAAGTCTCCCCGTACATGCAATCAATGTTGTTATATTTTCATCCTCAAGGGATTGTTCGGCGTTCAGTGTCTATGTTTTTCCTATTTTTGTGCACTTTTGTTGTATCTCAAAACCCGGTGTTTTTTGTCCGTTGGGCTGTAAAAACCCCCCGTAATAATAATGTTGTTTATTTTCCCTCCTGAGGGATTGTTGCTTCAGTGTCTAATTTGTTTATATTTTTGGGAACTTTTGCTTGTTCCCTTTGTTTTTTTTTAAAATTTTTAAAAAAATCCCCTTTAACATGGAGAATTATAGATCGGCACAAAATAAAAACAGACTATGTAATCTTTGACCCCAAGTGTGACAGGAAGGGGCCCCCCCTACAACATTTATTTTGTGCTATTTGTGCCCAAAATTTTTAAAAATCTATAAAAGTTTTTAGAGACCAAAAAATATAAACTTAACAATATGTTTTTTTTTTTGTCCTCTAAAGTTGTATCCTTGACCTTGTAGAGATGCAGGTGTTACGAAAATGACACTTGTCTTAGTTATAGTGATTTTGTGCCAAATTTTCAATCCTTTGATCTTTGAAAAAGTTTTGTCCGGAGCACAAAAAATACCCTGTAACATACTATGTTCATGTTTGACCTCCAAGTGGACCTTGAACCTTGGGAAGTAGGTGACGGTTGTTTGGCGCATGAACATCGTCTTTATTATAACAAATAATTTGTGCAAAGTTTATTTTGAATTCCTTTGATAATGACAAATTTTATGGACCGACCACAAAAGTGTGAACGGCGGAAGAACGGACGTTCTCACAGGACAGTAAAATTATGTTGCTACTCTAATTGTTCTCCTATTGTTCTTTTTAGCACACCCAAAAGAAAATAGCCACAATAAAAGCATTACAGACAATGAATGACATCAAAGAGAAAGAACAGTTACATTTATTGTCACTCTAGCCATATAATTTCTGTCCCGTGAAATGCCAATGGGGGAAAACGGACGGATGAGGGCGGAGCCTAAATTTTTATATTATTAAAAAACATTCGAAACCCCATGTCCCTTTTTTGGGTGAAGTGGATTTTTCAACTGCGAATTCGGCCCATGACCCAATGAATGTGTGATATGAAAATTGCGTCGTGGGGACGGCGAATTTCAAACCTCCGTTTTGATTATATACCCTGTGTATTGACGTCTAAGTTAAAAAACCCTGAAAGGTTTTTTAAAATATGTTTTCTTTTTCGTTTGCAAATTCCTTTAAATTGACTTTAGCATGGGGGTAAATAAATTTAAAAGCTGTGGGTTTTTTGAAACGCGCAATGCTTTGATGATATTTTATATAAATTAATGCTCAAGCGCGTACGAGAAAATGGAAAAAATTTAAAAAATTTACCTGTCACCTGGTAAAAGTTTTAAATTTTTTCTCCGGTAAAAAAATTTAAAAACATTTTATCTCAGAAAAAACTTTTTTTCATGAAAAGTTTTATGGGAATTTGGTTTTTTTTTATTAACGAAACCCTTTCGATTTCATTTAATGGGAAAAAAGGGGGAACATCTTTAAAAATTTCCCCTAAAGTATCGCGCGCCCCTGCTTAAAGAACAGAAAGTTTTATGATGCAGAGGTCGAAAGATTTTTTGTTCCATCATATACTGTCAACGACATTTTAATTTTTTAAAACAAAATTTGGGTTTTAAAAGAAAATTATTTGAAAAATAAAAAATTTTCACCAAACCTCTTTAAAGCACTAAGCGATCCCTTTTATACGACCCAAATAGTAAAGTTTTTATTTTTTTAAACTTTAAATCTTGTGTAAAAGTAAGGTACTGCAAAACATTATCAGAACGTAAGTT